ACCAGGGGACCCCGAGGAGCAGGGGGGCTGGGACGCGCACACCTCCCTCCCAGGCCCCGCCTCGCCCGTGGCGGGAGTCTCCCCGCGACCCTCCCGCCGCCACCGCAGAGGGGGAGACGCGGGGCTGGGCGGCCGCGCTGCCCACAGACCGCTCCGGCCGGCAAAGCGCCGCGCAGGACCCGGGGCCCGGCCGGACTCCGACCGCAGTCGCCGCAGCTGCCGCCGGAGGCCCGGGTCCCTCCACAGCGACTCACCGTCCCCTTCACCGCGACCCGCTCCCCTTGCGGGAAGGGCGCCCTCCACACTCACCATTGCCCTCCTTCTGCGGTTCCTGGGGTCGCCTCAGCCTCCAGAGGGCGGAGGTCACAGCGACGAGGCTGAGTCACTTAGAAGTTCTCTTCGCAGGACCCGCTGGACACTCTATGGCGAACCCTAGAAGGAAGCTCCACAGAAGTGGAAGGTTCCCGCCCTCTTCCAGCTGCGGTGCTGATTGGACAGTTCCTGCAGTCCTACCCCGTGTATCTGATTGGCTAGCGATCCAGGCCCCGCCCCTGAACCCTGAGTGACAGCAGGATAGAACCTCTCCCTGGCTGAATGGAACCCAAGTGAATTGTTTCCAGCTACAGCCCTTCCCAGCCTGAGCTTCTTCTCAGGGCCTGGACCTGACCTAACCCAAAGGATTATTGCACTTCATCCATGATTACTGCACTTAATCCATTTTGTTCCATCATCCTAGGTGTGGAATATCTATAAAAACTTATAGTACAAATATAATTTTATAATGAATGATTGTATAAGAAATATAATTATATTAATTAATATTAGTTAATGTGATAATATATAAACTCTAGATTATGGAAATCAACCTATTTTAATGCACTAGAGAAGGAACCTTAGAGAGTCACTAGGGAGTGGCCCCAGCCAAAACCTTGCAGTTTTTCCCCTTTGTCCATCACCATGCATCCAAAGGCAGACTGGGATTAGAGACACTGTGTACTCATGCCAGAAGCCCTCTGAGCCTGGATAGTGAGAAATGGCTTTGGCAAAACCTGACATGCCTGACACACAGGAAAGGTGATTAGGGACCCCCTAGGCCCTGAATCCTATCACCTGAGTCTTGTAGAATGGAGGCTTGCACGAACTGCATTTAATTAGTTGAGGAGTACCCATTATTGTCCTCCAGAAAGAGACAGAAAGCTCAGAAAGGTGTGCGGTGGGCGTGAAGGACCTTACCTCCTTGATCATCCTGGAGGAGCTCCCAGAGATGATGCTGGTATTGTAAATCCGATCATTAATAGATATGGAAGATTTAAAATCCCCAAAATAACTTGGCCTGAGAAAAAAGGAGGAAAAAAAAAAAGCCATGCACTGATAGCTTTCATCCTCCAAGACAAATGTTTTCCTGATGCTAATTGCAGGCAGGAAGGAGGTGTCTCATTACACCTAAAGTGATAGCCACTGAGGGGCACTGACTTCCTCAGAGTAAATCCTCTCCAGGTGCTCAGCACAGTCCCGTCACTCAAGAGCTCAAGTTCTTAATTGCTCAGACTGACCCCTTCACTGATTGACAGAACAAACCCCAAATTCCTTGGTGCCCAAGAAAACTGAAACATCTACAAGACCACCTTTCAGGATAATCTATATAAGCCCAGGCCCTTTCTTTGTTCAGGGGCTCATTTTCCGGAAAATGAGTCCCACCAAGGTGTCATTTCATCCCTGCATTCCCTGCTCCTGTGTGAAACTTCGTTCCTAAATAAAGCACTGAGCCGACCTGTGAAGTTTGCATTTGTCCAGATCTAACCATCAGGGCCCAATTCCCCTGGTGTGGAAGAATGAACCCCTGAGAAATGCCAACTAAAGCACAGAAGAAGTTTTATTTAAAGGAATAGAGAGACAGACTGCTCCTGGGGGCGGAGAAAAGGATCCAGAGCTGGAATCCATGAGAGGAGGGTGTCCTACTCCTTTTATCCTTTCTTCTCATTTCCCAACCTCCCTTGTATTGTTTATGTGGCCCGAAGTTGGGAAAGAAATCGTCCAGGGGTGCCTCTTTCTATCTACTGAAAGGGTCAGGAAAGGAGCCATCCAGAAGGTACTTCAATAACAAACTCATTTTGGGGCACAGGGTGGTGGTCCATGCCTGTAATCCCAGGGGCTCCAGAGGCTGAAACAGGAGAAGTCAGCCTCAGCAAAAGCAAGGCACTAAGCAACTCAGTGAGACCCTGTCTGTAAATAAAGTACAAAATAGGGCTGGAGATGTGGCTCAATGGTCAAGTGCCCCTGAGTTCAATCCTGTGGGAAGCCATTCTCACACGTGACTGGGCAACTCCCGGGTCTGAGGCGCTCTGGCTAACTGTGTTGGAGCTTTCCCGGCCCTCTCCTGATGAGAGAGCCCGTCCGTGTGGGGGTGTGACTGACCACTGACCCTGGGGGCCAATCACTGACCCTGACCTTGGAGTGCGGCCCCCCTCAACCTTCATTGGATGGAATTCTCCCCTGAGTTTCTTGTTCCCCAATAAAAGGCTACTCCCTGGTGTGCTCCCTCTCTCTCTCTCCTGCTAGCCCTGAGTAATCCTTGCTGCCCTACCGGGTGGTTCGAGGTGGGAACCAGAGAGGGGAGCCCTCTCGGACCTGGTCATAGAAAAAGGTAACTGAGTCTGTGTGTTTTATTTTGATCTCGCTAGCTAACTTTTATGCCAAGAACCTCATTAATGAAACCAATGCTCTGGCTGCATGGTGGACAATCCCCTGTACCAACAAAAACACTAATTTTGGGGAGGAACATTTCACTGGAGGCAGGTAAACTTGGCAACAGGTTGAAATGGGAGAGGAAGTGTCCTGAAGGTAGTAGCATTTTGTTTCTTTCCTTTCAAACCAGCCTCATCTTCCCTATTTGACCCGATCATCTATCTATATCTGCCCATCCTTTGTTGTGATATAACTATTATTCAATTCATGGACAAACTGGAGTCACCTGGCTGCAATGCCACACACCTGTAGTCCCAGCAATTTGGGAGGCTGAGGCAGGAGGACAACAAGTTGGAGAACAGCAAGTCCAAGGACAGCCTAGGCAACTTTGCAAACATCTGTCTCAAACAAAAAAGGGTTAGGGATGTAGTTCCAGGGTAGAGTGACACTGGGTTGAATCCCTAGTACCACACCAGCAATAAAAACTGAAATTTTATGGCAGCAATGTTCTGTAAAGAGTAAAAAGGAAAAAATGTAAATACTTGACATGGCTCAAACAGGCCCCAGCCTCACCCAAGGTCACAAAGACCCCCCATTCAGAAGGCCAAACATATTCCCAAACTCCAGTGCCAGCTGACCACTGAAATGAGCCTGCAGGTCACTCACTTGCTTCACACCAACACTGATGAGTTCAATGACACAGATAGTGAATACAGTACATTTTTTAATATAAAACAAAATCCAAGATACATTATATGGATTTTAAAAACTGACAATTATTCCTCTGAAAGTAGAAAGATGTCATCAAACTATTATTTTCATATTAACAAACTGATAAAAGGAACAACTAACCAGATGTGAATTCTTCCCTTCCCCTCTGCTTTCTTGGGAAACTCTCTTCACTTAACCACCCCACTACTGACTGATCCAGCCAAATATTTTTCTGATAAAAATCAGAAGCATAATAAATATATCTCTATCAAAAAAAGTCAAGCTGACCCTAAGTGTAATGTCCCTGAGGCTCTCACTGCCTCAAAGTAAATGACCTTTTTAAAATGATCTTACAGGGTTGGGGATGTGGCTCAAGCGGTAGCGCGCTCGCCTGGCATGCACTCGGCCCGGGTTCGATCCTCAGCACCACATACAAACAAAGATGTTGTGTCTGCCGAGAACTAAAAATAAATAAATAAATAAAATAAAATGATCTTACAAAGCTGGATGCTGGGGTGCATGTCTGTAATCCCAGCAGGTCAGGATTTTTGAGGCAGGAAGATCTTGAGTTCAAAGTCAACTTCAACAACTTTGTGAGGCCTTATGTAATTTAGAAACCCTGTCTCAAAAAAAGGGGGGGGGCCTGGGTATATGGCTACATGATTAAGCACTCCTGGGTTAAATCCCCAGTACTCCCCCTACCCCCAAAATAACTAGGGTCTTAATCTGATAGACTTAAATACTATCTTATCTCATAACTGGGAAATTTTTAAAAATTTATTTTGGAAGTCAAGTCATAGATTCCTTCTCTCCCAGACTTTTGTAAAATATTTCTAATTCATCTTGAAGCAAATAGATTGCCTTTGGCCTAACAAGATCAGGCACATTGGGATGTGATATAAAGTAGAGTATAAATGTATTTGCTTTCTTTTGTTTTCAAACTCTTCCCTGCCCCTAGTAAAATGTCTCTTAATAAGCTGGGCTGAGTGGCACAAGTCTAAAATCCCAGTTTCCTGGGAGGCTAAGGCAGGAGGATGGCAAATAAGACATTAGGCAGGGCAACTTAGACACTTTATCAAAATAAAATCAAGGATATAGCTGAATAGTACTCAGAAAGTGTGGGGCCCTGAGTGAAAAAAAAAGGGGAAAAAGTCTCTGAGTCATGAACTAGTCTGGAGGGCTGACACAGCAATCTGATTCTGCTTGGCCTTGAACTATAAGAAATGTTGTGGGGCTGGGGATGTGGCTCAAGTGGTAGTGTGCTTGCCTGGCATGGGTGTGGCCCGGGTTCGATCCTCAGCACAAACAAAGATGTTTCTACCAAAAACTAAAAAATAAATATTAAAATTCTCTTTCTCTCTCTCACTCTCTCTCTCAAAAAAAAAAAAAATGTGAAGATGATAGCTGTAATTAATTCAATATGGAAGTCTAACAAAATTGCTCTCCCACTAAAGAATTTCATTTTTCTCAGTAGTAAATCGGTATTACAAAGTACTCTATCACAAAGTTTTCAATAAATATTTTTGAAAGAAAAAGCTAATATATGTTAATCTGCAATTTGTTAGAAAATATTTAAGAAACTGTAAAAAAGTAATGCACAGAAATCTGGTTTGAAGAAAATATACATTTATTGCTATATCATGGGCATGGACAAATATGTGAGTGAATTTCACCATTATGTATAATTATAATGCGCCAGTAATATGGGAAAGATATAACATCCAACTGTGAAAAATATAAAATCCATGTACAATTGTCATTTTCCCCTGAAAAGAAACATACACATGAATACATATGCATATCTCTGAGTACATATATAAATAAAAGGGTATGCATAACCCATTATGTGAGGCCAGTCAGAAATTTACAACAATGAACAAAACCTCCTTCTTCCCTGGCCCATTAACCATAAGTATTTAAAAACTACATACAAATGAAGCCTAATTGCACCTTAGAAATACACATTGATGGGGCTCAGGTCAATATGTTAGAAGGCTCACTACCTGATTTGATCAAAAACACACTACCTATTAAACTCAGATAGAATAGCCTGAACAAAACTCACAGAAGTATTTCACCTGAATCTTTTGTTTACAAGAATCGAAATTAGAATCACGCAGTGCAGCCAGGCAAGGTGGCACAGGCCTGTAATCCCAGCGGCTCTGGAAGCTCAGGCAGGAGGACCCTGAGTTCAAAGCCAGGCTCAGCAACAGTGAGGTGGTAAAGCAACTCAGTAAGACCCTGTCTCTAAATAAAATACAAAACAGGGCTGGAAATGTGGATCAGTGGTCAAGTGCCCCTGAGTTCAATCCGTGGTACCCCTCACCACCCAAAACACACACACACACACATGCGTGCACACACACACACAGTGCAGAGATCTACTTGAAGAATAAATTACTAGTGAACACAATATAAAACTTGTGGGAAATCTCCAGGTAGTACATTTTCTGCAGACTTCTAAAGAAATTATTTTGCATCAAGCTCTTCATACTCAATACATTTTAGGATTCTGCTACAGGAGGAATTTTCATAGGCCTCTGAAACTATGTTACAACTGACAACTCCTTTCTAAGAATTTTTCACAATCACAGGGTTTTGATTTACTGTGATTTCTTACATGTGAACCAAATGGAGATCATTGCAAATCTCTTCTATTATAGACTCCACTGCATACCGTGTTCATTTATATAGGTACACTGAACCAATTTGACGAGTTCCCCAGATCCTTTGCAATAATACAAGATATTGCAACTGCATTCTCGTGTTTGCTAACAAGTTCACATGATAATAAAGACTTCCTGGGCTGGGGTTGGGGCTCAGCCGTAATGCACTTGCCTGGCATGTGGTTTCTATTTTCAGCATTGCATATAAATAAATTAAATAAAAGTCTATCTACAACTAAAAAAAAAAAATTTTTTTTAAAGAGACTTCCCACTTTTTCTGTATTCTGGGTTACTTTCCAGTGTGTTCTTTCATGTACTTGAAAGAATCGGAGAATAAAGGCTTTCCCACATTGTTGACATCCTTAAGGTTCCTCCTCACTGTGAAGTTTTTCATATTATCAAAGGGAACTGTAAACAGCAAAAGCTTTCTCATACTGCTTGCACTCATGGAGTTTCTCTCAAGTGTGAGTCCCTTGATGTTTGAGAAGGTAACTGGATGGGGTAAAGGCTTCATGACTTTCTTTACACAGTTTCTCTCCAGTGTGCATTCTTTCATGTATTTTAGCCGGTGCATGAATTTCTGAAGGCTTTCCCACACTGCTCACAAGCATGTTTTCATGCCACTGTGAATTCTTTTATGTTTGCTGAGGGAACTGGGCTCCCCATAGGCTTTGCCACATTGCTTGCATACATAGGGTTTTTCTCCAGTGTGCCTTATTTCATGTATTCTGAGTAAACAGGAATGAAGAAAAGCTTTCCCACATTGTTCACATGTATAGAGGCTTCTCTCCACTGTGAATTCGTTCATGTTTTCTAAAGGAGCGGGAAGAACTATAGCCTTTTCCACATTGCTTACACACATAAGGTTTCTCTCTATTGTGTGTTATTTCATGTATTTGAAGGGACCTGGGGAGATTAAATGTTTTCCCACATTGTTTACATGTATAGGGTTTCTCTTCACTGTGAATTCATTCATGCTTTCTACAGGAGCTGGAAGAACTAAAGCCTTTTCCACATTGCTTACATACATAGGGTTTCTCCCCATTGTGTGTTATTTCATGCATTTGAAGGGATTTGGGGGAAATGAAACACTTTCCCACACTGTTTACATGTATATGGTTTCTCTCCACTGTGAATTTGTTCATGGAATTTAATGTAATAGGAAGAACTAAAGGCTTTTCCACATTGCTTACATATGTAGGATTTCTTTCCACTATGCATTTGTTCATGCATTCCAAGGGCACTGACAAAAGTGAAGGATTTCCCACATTGTTTACATATATAGGGTTTCTCTCCACTGTGAATTTGCTCATGGGTCTTTATGTAACTAGAACTAAAGCCTTTTCCACACTGCTTACACACATAAGGTTTCTCACCACTATGAATTCGTTCATGTTTTTTCATGTGGCTGGAAGAATTAAAGCCTGTTCCACATTGCCTACATATATAGGGTATCTTTCCACTGTGAATTTGCTCATGAATTTGAAGGGAACTGAGAAAAGGAAAGGATTTCCCACACTGTTTACATTTATAAGGTTTCTGTCCACTATGAATTCGTTCATGTTTTCATGTGGCTAGAAGAACTAAAGCCTTTTCCACATTGCTTACACGCCTAGGGTTTCTCTCCAGTGTGCATTATTTCATGTCTTTTGACTAAATAAGAATGACTGAACGCTTTCCCACATTCATTACATGTATAGGGTTTCTCTTCATTGTGAATTTGTTCATGTGTTTTCAGGCGGCTGGAAGTACTAAAGCCTTTTCCACATTGTTTACATACATAGAGCTTTTCTCCAGTATGTTTTTTTTCATGTATTCTGAGTGAATCAGAACGACTGAAAGCTTTCCCACATTGTTTACATGTATAGGGCTTCACTGCACTATGAATTTGTTCATGTCTTTTGAGGTACCTGGAAGAAATAAAGGCTTTCCCACACTGCTTACATGCATAGGGTTTCTCTCCACTGTGAATTCGTTCATGGATTTTAAAGAAAAAGGAAGTACTAAAGCCTTTCCCACATTGCTTACATACATAGGATTTCTTTCCACTGTGAATTTGTTTGTGAATTTGAAGAGAACTGAGAAAAGTAAAGGATTTCCCACATTGTTTGCAGTTATAAGGTTTCTCTCCACTGTGAATTCGTTCATGGATTTTAATGTAGCTTGAAGAACTAAAGGCTTTTCCACAGTGCTTACACACATGGGGTTTCTTGCCACTGTGAATCTGTTCATGTCTTTTCATGTCACTAGAGGAACCAAAGCTTTTTCCACATTGCTTACACACATACAGTTTCTCTCCACTGTGAATTCTTTCATGGATTTTAAAGAAAAAGAAAGTTCTAAAGCCTTTTCCACATTGCTTACATATATAAGGTTTCTTTTCACTGTGAATTTGTTTGTGCGTACGAAGAGAACCGATAAAAGTAAAGGATTTTCCACATTGTTTACATATATAAGGTTTCTCTCCATTGTGAATTCGTTCATGGATTTTAATGTAGCTGGTAGAACTAAAGGCTTTTCCACAGTGCTTACACACATGGGGTTTCTCTCCTGTGTGAGTTCTTGCATGCTTCTGAAAACATTGGGGATCATGTAAGGCTTTCCCATGTTCCTTATATTTATATGGCTTCTTTCCATGTTCCAGATATTCTTGTGCTTTGTGTCCAGTGTGAGCTGTTAGGGGCACAGCTAGGGATGGATCAGCATTGAGGACATCTCCACACACATGGTGTTCACTAGGTTTTACTCCAGAAGAACTTCTCTTGTTTATGTGAGGATTTATGATCTGGCTGAGGATTTTTCCACATTGACTATCTTCTTTCTGTTCACAGAGTCTCTCTAACACTTGACTTCTGCAAAGAATGAAAAGCACAATACGAATGATTTTGTTTATTAATGATTTACCAGAAGAATTGGTTTTATTCTGTGTAAGCTTTATTACTGAGCTACGTTACAGTTCTTTTTAAAAAAAAAATTTTTTTTTTTTCAGATAAGTTCTCAGGAAGTTGCTCATGCCTCACTAAAGTGTTGAGGCTGGCCTCCCTCTTGTGATCTCCTGCCACATCTTTCCAAGTTGCTAGGATTATGGGTGTGCACTACCATCCAGCTCAGTTTTCTTAATACCTCTTTTCCAAGTATTTGGTTAACCTTGAAGATGTTTATCGAATGTAGTTACAATTAAGCACTACTTATATGAAATGCATAGAACAAAATTCAGATTGGATATTGTGATATTTGCAAATATATAGAAAGTTATCTTCAAAATGGGTCCCATTTGAGGCCAATTTCATACATTTCTAATAATTTGTGTATGGAACAGACTTTGTATATAATAAACTATTAGAAAGTGTCACTTATGATATCAAGTCAGTGTTCTAGATGGTGCCTATTCTGGAACATAATGGATTTTGAGTTTTCTAATTATGGATGCTCAATCTGTATGTACTGTTTAAGAAAACAGAGATAAAATCAACTTGAACCTTGGCATATATCATTTCCTTCTTTTCATGATTTTTTATAAGTTATTCCAAGATTTGTGAGGGATACTGCCTTCTCTAGTGAGTTCAATTACCTTAGATTTCCCTTGGAATTGTAGTGATCATCGATGGCCTGATTTTTCCATTGTTTTCCTAAAATGCAGACCCAGAAACATCATTATGACTCATCTCAACATTGCATAAAAGCTATTAGAGTCTTGCTGATCTGATGTATACTGTCACCATGCCAGTATATTCACCAAAATATGGGTTTTCCATATTCTAGATCATGGAACAGAACTGTTAAGCAAGTGATACCTGTTCTCTGATTGACTTAGTGAGGAAACTATGTCACCCTTACCTATAGTGGTCAGGTTCCAGAAGGTTTCCTGCATCACATCTCTGAAGAGCTTCTTCTGGGAAGGAACCAGCAGAGCCCACTCCTCCAGGGTGAAGTTCACAGCCACATCCTCAAAGGTCACTGGCTCCTGAAATATCCCACAGGTATTCCCAGGAGGAAAGTGAGACACACAGCACTGGAGACCTGCACTCACTTTGTGAGAATTTCATATGATAGTATGTCCTCCCAATACTCCATCTTACTCTCCAGCAAGGCTCACATCCTCTCACACTGAAATTCTGATGCTGGATCACATCTACTGGTAGAGAAAAAGGGAGAACAAGAACACTAGCTGTGCTGCTGGGTCTCTCCAATTCTCTTTGTACGTGGGTCTCTAGCACTTCTCACAACAAAGTCCAACTATGTACTGTACTTAATAGTAGCTGTTCTGAGACAGCATATTCTTAGAAATGCTTGAGAAAAAACTTTGTTGGTATCTGGGAACTACTGTTGGAATGGACCTAAGTAGCTTAACTGCAAGGAGGGAACTGGGATTCTCAAGCAGGTTATCCCAACAAAATGCGGACTGTTAAAGTCCTGTTGGTCCTCTATGTGTTTACAATGTTCTGACATGCTCGTCACAGGATGCCTATCTCATCAGCCTCCCAAATACACTCTGGATGATGAATCTCTAGTAAACTGGCCTGTTAGATCAGATCTAAAACCTTTTCTACAACTCCTTATTTAGGGAATTCAGTACATCCTTTGGGATTGCACTAAGGGACCAGCACTGGAAGCCTGTATGTTAGTTCCTGTATGTCAACCAGAATAAAAATAAATAAGATTCATGAAGGATAATTCATGAATAGGTAATCATTAACAATTTTCTTGTAGAATGTCAAAACCTAATACAATAAGGTAAAAAGAGGTACATGTCCTTAGAAAGATTCAGTGTCATCAAGATGTCACCTCTCACATAGACCTATAAAATTGCAAAATACCAATAACAAAACCTTTTCCTAAAAAAGCAAAAAGTAATGTATGCCAGGTGTAGTGGCACATGCCTATAATCTCAGCGACTTGGACTTAGTGAGACCCTGTCTCAAATTTGTAAAAAAATAAGTAAAATAGATAGATTTTTAAAAATGGATAGTGATATTGCTCAGTGCATTAGGGCCTCCGTCATCATTCCACAAAATAAAAGGACGAAAAAAAAAAAGAAGAAAGGAATGAATGAAGGGAGGAAATAAAAGGAAAAAAATAGTTTATAAATCTTCTAGGCATAATAAATATCTAATATCTAAACTCATTGGAATAATAAAGTGATCAATTGACTAATAAACACAAAACATTTTGAAGTCACACTATTTGGAAAAGTACACTATTAACAAAAAGATTAACAAATGATGAAAAAGAAAAGAGCACTCATGTGCCCATATGTGAACAGAAAACTGATTCATGACACAGCAGCATTGAACAACAGTGGGAGACATTCCAATCTTTCTAATAACCAGTCAGGGACCAAAAGGTATCTATTTACCTGGACATGCCATGTATTCCTCTCTATTTCAAGCATGAAATTCAAACCACACATTGAAACCATAACACAATACTGGAATAATTTGAGAAGCCACAAATACTTTTTTTTTTAAACTTTATTTAGTTGTCAATGGATCTTTATTTTGCTTTTCATTTATATGCGGTGCTGAGAATCAAACCCAGTGCCTCACACATGTAGGGCAAGTGCTGCTCTATCACCGAGCTACAACCCCAACCCATACAAATAGCTTTTAAGGGCTGAGGATATAGCTCAGTTGGTAGAGTGCTTGCCTCGCATACACTAGGCCCTGGGTTCAAATTTCTAGCATCACACACACACACACACACACACACAAAAAAAAAAAAACAGTTAAACAAATACAAATACCTTTAAACATAGAAAATAGTGTTTCCTAATTTAAAAAAAATAATAATAATTTCTAAAAAAATAAGCGGAGCGATTTAAATCTATGAAAGTAGAGGAAAGCAAAAAGCAAACAACAAAGTTCAAAAATTTTTGCAATACATGGCATGAAAAAGTACTGGTGTGCTCTAAGGCATCATGGCATACACCTATAACCACAGCTACTTGGGAGGATCCCAAGTTCCAGGGAAGCCTGGGTAACTTAGGGAGACGCTGATGAAAAAGGAAAAAGGGCTGGAGACGTAGGCCAGTTTTAGAGCAGTTGCCTAGCAATGTGCAAGGCCTTGGGTTCAATCCCCACTACCCACCGCCACAAACACACACATGATTAATATGCAGAACAAAAATTAATGAATACATGATTAAAGACACACTAAACATTTTAACTCAATGTAAAACATCATAAAGAGATCTGTGTCCATGTGTGAGGAAAAAGCCAAATAAATATAATTACTGAAGATCCTAGTGAAACAACAAAGGTTTATACATGAATAGAGAATAAAATGATGCACTCCACTAACACTATAGTTTCAATTTTACCATCAACTTCATACCAGGAGCTGAAATCAAATTTAACCCCATCAAATATTTCTGCTCAAACACTGAAAGAAGAGACTGTGATTCATATAGATACCCATTAGAGTCTTTAAATGTTCATATATCTATAACAACAACAAAAATCTAAGAATAATGAAGAGGCAGGTGAGGGGGAACATGCTTGTAATCATAAGCACTTGGGAATCTGAGGCAGGATAATATTTTGTAAATTATTATTTTTTTTAATTGCAAGTTGAAAGCCAGCCTCAGCAACTTGGGAGGCTCTAAGCAACTGAGCAAGTTCCTGTCTCTAAATAAAACATAAAAAAAAAAAAAAAAAAAAAAGGCCAGGTGCAGTAGAACACACCTATAATCCTAGTGGCTTGAAAACCTGAGACAGGAAAATTGAAAGTTCAAAACCAGCTTCAGTGAAGCAACTCAGTGAGACCCTGTCTCTAAATAAAATACAAAATAGGGCTGGGGATGTGGCTCAGTGGTTGAGTGCCCTGAGTTCAATCCCTGATATCAAGAAAGAAAAAGAAAGAAAGAAAAAAAGACTAGGGATGTTGCCCAGTAGTTAAATGCCCCTGGGTTCAGTCCCCAGTATAATAGTAATAAAGAAGAGGGAAATAGGGCTTATTAATAGGAAAAAAATAGAGAAAAGCCATTTCTGAGAAACCTCAGAATTTGAACTTAGTCAACAAAGACATTCACTAGGCAAGGTGGTACACTCCTGTAATCCCACTGAATCAGTAGGCTAAGGCAGAAGGCAACTCAGCAAGACCCTAACGCTAAACAAAAGTAAAAAAAGGGCTGGAGATATAGCTATGTGATAAAGTTTTAATCCTCTCTACTACCAAACAAAAAATCAACCAACCAAACAAAAAAACAACATATAATAATTTGCAGGTTCCCATTGTAACAACATATATGAAACCATCACTATAGGTGTTCCAGAGCACCCTGGAGCAAGGAGAACAAAGAATCAACTAAGATGAAGTTAGATGATTGAAATTATACAGTCTGGAGGAGGAAAAGAACAAAAAATAAAATTCAGAGACTTTTCACCAGTGTATCTCCTCGGTGTGCCTTATGAAAAGAAGTCCTCTAGAGGAAGCAAGAAGCTATAGGAACAGTGATCACATAAAGTAAAACAAACAGAAAGTACTTACAAATATGCCATGTTTTAATCCAACTACATCAATAATCACTTTAAATGTAAATGTTCTGCAGACAGGCTGGCAGAAAACAACACCCAACCTTGTGTACTTTATGAGGGGAAAAAAAAAAAACAGTTTTTAACTATCAAGAAATCAGGTCAAGAGTCAAAACTTCAGTTACATAGGAGAAATAAATTTAAGAAATATGTTATGATGACTAGAGGTAAGATCATTGTATTGTACTCTGAGAAATCATTAGAGAATTAGGTTTAAAGTGCTCTCATTCCACAAAAGATATGTATGTGAAGCAATGTATTTGGTAATTAACTCAATCATCTTGGGTTATCTCTGCTATCACCACCACCATGTTTAATTGAGGCAGCTTCCACCTTGGGACACCAATCTGGGCCTGGAAGCCCAACATCAAGGTACCTATAGTCTCCCAATCCCAATCCCCAAGTGCTTGCAGCTATGTGGTGGGCCCTTCTCTCTCAATGCCTGGTCCTGATCTGCCTGCTCTCCATGACAGGCACACAGGTCCCAGTGCTCAGCCCTCAGCACCTCTAGAGAGAGAAGTTCTTGATTGGGAAGTAGAAAGGGAGGGAGTGAGGGAGACACAGTTAAGAGACTAAATTAGAGACCAAGAATTGTAGGGTCCACAAGCAATATAAGGGCCTAAGACCAGGCTCCCACATACCATGGGTGGACCCCAAAGGAGATTCCTGAGGTGCAGTCTTCCAACAGAGACTGACAATTGCTATACCCCTCATCCAGGTGTTCCACCTCCAAGACTAACCCTTCCTCCCTAGTAACCTTCAATATCCTGAGGGTGGAGATACTAGCAAACTCCAGACAACCCCAACTATTGGATGAGAAAGGAAGCAGGGAAGATATTGAACTCCAACAGAAACAATCAATTATCCTTTGAAAAATTTTTTTCTTTCTTTTCCTGCCCTCTCATCCCCAACATTTGTAAAACCAAGTACTTTTTTAGAGAGAGAGAGAGAGAGAGATTTTATATATTTATTTTCGGTGGGCACGACATCTTTATTTTATTTTTATGTGGTGCTGAGGATGGAACCCAGTGCCCCGCACATGCCAGGAGAGAACGCTACAGCTTGAGCCACATCCCCAGCCCACCAAGTACTTTTATTTTTACCTTTATTTTCTCTTTTCTCCTAACAGCCAGCTTCTTTTGATTTCTCTTTCACACTTCCTATGATTTAACCCCTCCATATTCTCACCTCCTATCTCATTAACATCTCATCCTACCCGCTCCCAGTTCTGTTCGTGCACCATTAGAAACTGTCCACTCTTTCACAAACCTACTGTTTATGTTGTAGATGATAATCAAATACACCATTTCTGTTTACTGCGACAAAACTGACAAAACTGTAAACGTCTTAATAGGAGCTTTTGGTTTAAGGATGCATATTGTTTACATTGGGTGCTGCTAATATTGATCATTATAAGAAACAACTAAACTGGGGGTGGTGGCACCCCTCTATAATCCCAGCGGGATTAGGGGGCTGAGGCAGGAGAATCACAAGTTAAAAGCCAGCCTCAGCAAAAGTGAGGCAAAGAGCAACTCAATCAGACCCTGTCTCTAAATAAAATACAAAATAGGGCTGAAGATGTGGCTCAGTGGTCCAGTGCCCCTGAGTTCAATCCCTAGTCCCCAAAAATAAAAAATACAAAAATATTTTTAAAAAAACAACAAAATAAACAAATAAAGAAAGAACTTGTGAGAATGTCCTGGTTTTCAGTCCAAGCACATGAGAAGGGAGAGAGAAGACACAGTTTTTATAAATAAAGACAAAAAAGTCTTCAATAGAGCCTGAGGATAGCTCAGTGGTACAGCACCTGCCTAGCACTTGTAAGGCCCTGGCTTTGATCCCCAGCACTGCAAAAATAAATAAAAAAGATAAAAGAAAAAATCCTCAACAAATAATAGCAAATTTATATTTGCTATTATATAACTATAATATAAACAAAATGATCCAAAACCCAAGTAGGAATTGTTATAAGTATTTTTTAAAAATACGTAGTTCTTAATGAGCCTTTACTTCATTTATATGAACATGGTGCTAAGAATCAAACCACGTGCCTCACACATGCTAGGCAAGCATCTCCCACTGAGCCACAACCCCAGCCCCTACTATAACTATTTAAGAATGACCACACATTTAAAAGTCAACTCATGGGGCTGAGGTTGTGGCTCAGCAATAAAAGAGCTCGCCTAACATGTGTGAGGCCCTGGGTTCGATCATCAGCATCACATATAAATATATAAAATAAATGGTTAATGTGGATTAAAAAAAAAAAGAAGTCAACTCATGTAATTAATCACCTCAACAAGCTAAACAACAAAAGAGGGGCTGGAGTCATGGCTCAGTGGTAGAGTACTCGCCTAGTGTGTGTGAGGCATTGGGTTCGATTCTCAGCACTACATATAAATAAATAAATAAAGGTTCACCGACAATTAAAAAAATTAAAAAAATAAAAATAAACAACAAAAGAGAAGGATCAAATCATTAGGTACAGAGAAAGCATAAGAAATAATAACTACAGGGATTGAGACTGAGAAGAAACAAATAAAAAATAAATCTTCACATGTGACATTATCGTCTATCTACAAAATCCCAAAGAACCAACAAAAATCCTGGAATTAATACCGGGGTTTGCAAGGTTGTAAAAAACACACGACCTTAACATGCAAAAATCCATCATTTCTCTGTATATCAAATATAAAAAAATCAATTTCAAATAAAAACGACACTATTGATACAGAACAAAAACATGGAAAAGAGAGGAACAATTTCACAAAAATGAAAGATCATCTAATAAGAACACATTTTTTTAAAATTTTTAAATTGATAAAGAAAATGAAGGATCACTTAAGAAAAACACTCAAGGTCGGAGGTAATCAATCAAAACAAGATACCTCTTAGTGGTTCGGGAGGCTGAGGCAGAAGGATCTCAAGTTCAAAGCCAGCCTTGGCAACTTAGTGAGATTGTGTCTCAAAATAAAAATAAAAAGGGCTGGGATGTGGCTCAGTAGTAAAGTATCGGGGATTGATCAAAAAAAAAAAAAAAAAAGCGCGCAGGGGTGGGGTGGGGTGCGGGGCTGGGGATATGGCTGAGTGGTTAAGGACCCCGGGTTCAAGGAGGATAACAAACAAAAACAAAACCCACCCAAGGCTCACGTCAGGGTGAAACGTCCTAGATCTAAGACGATGCTGCCACCCTCCATCCTCCCTTCATCCGCCACCTTCTTTGTACTCCCCTTTGCTCCCCTCTAGAAAGAAGTCCTTTCTGCCAACCACTGAGGGGTCTGCAGACTTCACAGCTGGGCTTCCCTGCTTTGCGGTTCTCGTAAATGCATCGGTGCCTTCCTCGATCCGCATTTTCTAAACCAATGTCCAGCGGGCGCTGATTTCCAGTCAGGGGGCCCTGGCAGAAGGGTCCACAGATCTGTCCGCCTCCTGCCCCCACAAGCCCCGAGGCTGAGGGTCAGTCGCGGATTTGGGGACCGGCTTCCCCAGGTTTGCAGACTTCGGAGTAACCAGGGGACCCCGAGGAGCAGGGGGGCTGGGACGCGCACACCTCCCTCCCAGGCCCCGCCTCGCCCGCGGCGGGAGTCTCCCCGCGACCCTCCCGCCGCCACCGCAGAGGGGTGACGCGGGGCTGGGCGGCCGCGCTGCCCACAGACCGCTCCGGCCGGCAAAGCGCCGCGCAGGACCCGGGGCCTGGCCGGACTCCGACCGCAGTCGCCGCAGCTGCCGCCGGAGGCCCGGGTCCCTCCACAGCGACTCACCCGTCCCCTTCACCGCGACCCGCTCCCCTTGCGGGATCGGCGCCCTCCACACTCACCATTGCCCGCCTTCTGCGGTTCCCGGGGTTGCCTCGGCCTGCAGAGGGTGGAGGTCACAGCGAGGAGGCTCGGCCACTTAGAAGTTCTCTTCACAACACATGTGACACACCTACTATGGTGGCTCCAGGAAGGAAGCTGTTCAAAAGTGGAAAGTTTCCGCCCTCTTCCAGCTGCGCTCCTGATTGGACAGATCCTGTGCCCCCCCTATCTCCCGTCTCTGATTGGCTAGTGTTCCAGGACCCGCCCCCGAACCCTGAGTGACAGCAGAAGAAAACCTCCCTCCTGGCTGAATGGAATCCAAGAGATGGTTTCCAGCTCCAGCCCTTCCCAGCCTGAGCTTCTTCCCAGGGCCTGGATCTGAGCTAACGGGAGGGATAATTGCATGGATCCATTTAGGTCCACCCTCCCAGGTCTGGAAACACCTATAAAAGATAAATATAGTATACAATATGTAATATAATTTTATAAAAGACCTTTTTAAATATAACTATGATATTAATATTGTTAATATTAATTGTTATAAGAGATTATTAATTTCCTTTCAATTCAGTGTAGAATTGAAAATTTGGGATTTAATCAGTTAAGCAAAATTCAGTCCTGGCCTTTCAGAACTGGTGTTGTCTTCTCACTATATTCAGTGGGCATTTTCTGTTTCTTGCCCCTGTAATTGAGGTAACAAGTGTACTCAGGCAGTGCCAGAAGCAATGTCCATGGAGACAACACCTCATGTCAGAAAAGGACACCTCACCAGGTGCAGTGGCATAGGGTTTTAATCCCCGAAGCTCAGGGGGCGGAGGCAGGAGGATCACAAGTTCAATGCCAGTCTCAGTAGCTTAGCAATAAGCAATTTTAAAATAAAAATAGAAAAAAAAAAGGGGGATGGACAGATGGTTCAGTGGTGGAAAACCCCTATGTTCAATCCCCAGTATCAAAAAAGAAGAGAAAAAAAAAAAAAAAAAAAAACATCTACCCAGTCTGGACTGCCAGGACATAAACATATTGTCAGAGGTCGGGCATTTTGGATGAGACAACTGGCTTCATAGCCAAGGCTTTCTTATGCCTTTGTTATTTACCCATTTTCATCTAAGAAAATAAAAACATACCTACAAGGGAGTACAGTTATTTAATTCAGGGAAGTAGTGGAGTTATATGGAAGCAGCGTTGTTGTTTTTTTTTTAGTTCTCGGCGGACACAACATCTTTGTTTGTATGTGGTGCTGAGGATCGAACCTGGGCCGCACGCATGCCAGACCAGCGCGCTACCGCTTGAGCCACATCCCCAGCCCCTGGAAGCAGCGTTTTACAAAGGAATCAAGAAGGAAAAAAAATGGAAACATTTGAACTCAGAAACCAGTCTACTCCAAAGAAGGCTGTAAGAAAAACTTAGATTCAGAAGATTAAACATATTCCCAAGCTTGAGGGCCGGAATGACATCTTGCTGAATCCAAGTTTTCAGAGTGCGACACTCCTGTGTGCTGAGGCAGGACAGCTAAGGATTTCACTCTGGAAGTCACCATTCTCAGATGTCCCTTCCTTATAGTATGGAAACTCTCCATCCTTCAAAATAATTTTATTAGTCACCATAGACACTGTCACCTTGAGTCACTTTCATGTTCTGACCTAACCAAACTGTCATAAACCCTTTCTCCAGGAGATCTTTAAATTTTGTCTCTAATCCTATTCTTCATACATTTTCTTCACAGACACAAGTTACAGAACAACTCCAGCAAGCTACACATCCCAACTCACTGTCTCAAAAGCAGCCACAGTGAAGCAAGAGTCTCTGGTGTAGGAAAGCCCAATGACCTTGATCCAGTATCATCTTGATCTGGAGTCTCTGTCCCCCAGAAGAGACCCATTTTACCAGGAGAAGAGGAAGATCAGGGCCAATAATAGGAGAAATACAGCAACCAAAAGTCCTAATCATGATAAGAGGTAGGTGAAGTTAGGCAAGGAAGCTGCATCGTTTCCCCTAGAGCCCAGCACTGCCTGGGGAAGCAGTTGTAAGCCAAGTACCACTTTGTAAAATCTTATCAGCTCTAGTCTCCGTGTGTCCAGAACAGCTGGTGGTGTCTGCCAGAGACCCAATCCACCTTCCTGAGCCAACAAATCATCTAATCTATTTTCTGTCACCAGTTGGGCTAATGGGTCCAAGGATTTGGTAGCAATTTAAAGTCTTGCCCAGTTTTGATGGCAGTGTCTCCCGTGGTTTCTGATGCGTCAGTCACTGCATTGCTGGTCACTCCTCTCACCAATCCAGAAAGTGATCCAATTCAGGCGATTCCCCCAGCTACAGTTAGACCTGGACCTCTCTTCTCTGATGCCCGGGTTACATAGAGATGGTGTATCCAGGGTCATTAGTAAAAGCTTGTATTTTTCTGCTGAAGTGACAATACATCCTATTCCCCATGTTTGAGTCACCTCTTTCCAATGATGTGCTGGAAGTCTGCTTCTTAGAACCCTAGATGTTTTTCTCTTTGTGTCACACACACAAAAAAAGGCATTCCCCTAATATGCACAGAATTCAGGGTTCATGACCAGCATCTCTGCTGAGTGTGGTGACTCTGCCATTAACTCCTAGCAACTTGGGAGGCTGAGTAGGAGTTTAGGGCTAAGCTCAGCAATTAGTGAGTCATGGGATGGAAATGAAAAATTGTATATGCAGCTCAGTGGAAAAGTGCCCCTGGGCTAATCTACCAGTAAGGAAAAAAAAAAAAAAGAAAAGAAAGGAAGAAAAGTAAAGTAAAGAAAAAAACTGAGACTAACATCTATTTTATCTTTAGGAGCTTTTGAGGTGTCACTAGAGCATTTGCTTGATCAGGAAAAAGTCCTCTTTGTAAGAAGGACCTCAGTACTCTTTGGCAATGGTGGCAAATCTCCCCTGCGCTTTTATAGCTGAGGGAGTGGGAAACAGGTACACTCAGAAAAGCCAATTAGGGGGGTGTTGGGGCAGTTTGACCAAGATTCAGGAGGAATCTACAACTTTACCACAGGGAAAGAAGGTACAAGAGGCATTTAACACCATGTGAATGAAGGCAGATTTTGAAGGTTCACGTCTGGGTATCCGAAATTGTTGAAATTGTACTTGGCTACAATAGTTCACCAGGTCATGGCCAAAGGCTAAAAAAGCCCATGGAGTGTCCTATGAGAAGATGAGCTTTAATTCTTAGGTTTGGAAAGGTGGCATTAGCCACCAAATGTAGATTTAGAATCATGTTAGTCTCCTTTGCACAAATACCCTCTAATATTGGATTGGTGTCTCCCCACAGATGAACTGATGATGGCAAATCTAATGTTAGGAAGAAAGATGTTCTCTCTTGCTGTGTTTCTAGTCCTCTCATGAAGAGGGTTACCCTGCCAGGAATGAGAAAGTGCGGGGCGGGGCGCGGGGGGGGGGGGGGGAGCACAGTTATGTGTACATGCTGCCATCTGGTGGCTCCTTCTGGTATATGTATTGCTTTACCGCAGCTGGGGCAGGCAGCCACAGGGGAGAATAAGATGACTGAAATGCCAAGAGAAAACCGAGCCCAAACCAGGGATGTGTTCCTCATGGAAGGGAGTAATCCCAACAGCCAAAGGACAAGTCCCACTAGAGCAGAGAGGAGCAAGATCCCTAGTAGGTAGTACATAGCTTACACAGGACCCTGCTTCTTCTGAAAAGGACCCATAATCTCCCAGAGGCTCACATGAACACACCTCCTTTTTCTCTTTGCCTGGTGGCAAGCGGTCCTGTAAACCTCAGGAGGGACAGATTTTGTCCTTGGAAAGTGGGCCCATCATGTCTGGCCCTGGAATCTGAACACCCTCCCGGTGTTTAGGACCTAGAAGGAGTCCTCCCATCTAGGGAGTAACAGTTGGTGTGTGAGTTCCCTTTCCAAGTTTTTAGAAGAACGAAGTCAGCCGGGCGTGGTTGTACACACCTATAATCCCAGCCAATCAGGGGCAGAAGCAGGAGGACCACAAGGTCGTGGCCAGGCTAGCTATTTAGTGAGACCCTGACTGTAAAGAAATAAAAGGGCCGAGGTTGTAGCTCAGTAGTAAAATGCTCCTGGATTCGATCCCCTGAGCCATATATATGAACAAGGTCACCTGGGTGAATTTGTGGAGCAGTTGGGCTGGAGCTGGGAGGACTTGACTTCCGAATTCCAAAGGGCCTTTTGCACTTGTTCCAAATTGATTACATATATGATCACCTCTTGTATCTTAGGATCAGTGACAAGTTCTGAGATCACAAATGGTCTCCCCTACAGTATTTCACAGTGGATCAGTTTGAAGTTTTGGGGTGACTCTGATTCTTCACAGGCCCGCCTATAGGCCAAGGCTGTCACTAGTGTTTGGGGATTTTTTTTGCACAATTTTACCAAGGTGCTTTTAATCCATTGATTGTCCCTTTCCACTTCGTCTGACAATTGAGTGAGCCATGAGGTGTAAAGATATAAGCGGTGCCCAATACCCATGAGGCCTCATGTGTCACTTTGGAGACTGAGGCCCCAGAATCACTCTGGAGTGACGTAGGGATCCAAACTGAGGGATGGTTTTCTTTCACAGAGCTCCAGTGACCTGTTGGGCCTTTTTAGTTCAGGTGGGGTATGCTGCTATCCACCCAGAAAAGGTGTCACCAAAACCCAGAAGGTGTTTATATCCTTGCCATTGGGGGAAGGAATCTGGAAGAAGTCTACCTGCCAGTAATCCCTGGGGAATGCACCCCATTACTACAGAAGGTTAGGTAAAGGGTGTTGTTTGGTTGCCCACACCCCCACATGGAGGCCCTTTCACAGGTGTGGGGCAAGCTCTTGTGACCTCCCGAATAGCAGACATGAAGTCTTTCCCTGCAAAGGCCTGAGCGCCAAAGTCATCAGGGCCTCCCTCCTTAAGTGGCACAAGTCTTGGTTTCCTTTATTAATTTCCCACTGGTCAGCCTGAGGCAGTCATATTTTATGATCTCCCTTTTACTCCACCAGCTGTCTTCTGCTGCTTCTGTCCCCATTGTTTACCCATTTCCTCAACCAATTTGTCCCTCTGAACCCTGAGTCCAGAAATTTTTAAAGCTTTATGCCCAGTATGTAGGGGGTGGGGGACTCAGAGGTTCACAATCTGTAGAAGTCCACATAAAAGTAGTTTTTTCCTACTGTATTGGGC